TATTCCGGTACAGGACACCCAGCCTGTTGTATAACATTGGCAACACTGAAAAAGGAACCCATAAACAAACTTGTAACTTGTCAAATTGATGAGTATGTATATAAACCCTCTATCCAACATAAGAGGAATTAAAACTACATAAAGTAATCCAGAAAAGCGTTCTGATATATTAACAATTATCACCAGATGTATGCATATTAGATTACTGAGCGAACCCACTGGACTGAAATCAGTGCATTAATGAATATTTTATTTATTTATTTTTTAACTACAGCTCCTTTTAAAGCAGGATAATGAATAACTTTAGATAGCAGCTATTTCAACATTTATCAAGCCCTAAAATCTACTAAGCCAAATCGTGGAGGAAATAGTGACTGAAGCCAGAGTCAAGCTTAAATTTATTAAGTGACAGTGCTTACTATAGGCTTGGCATTGTTGCAAGTTTTTCATGTATTATAGTAACTTACTCACTCCTCACAACAACAGTATGTGGTAAATATTAAATACTATCATTATCCCCATTTCACAGATGGAAAACTGAGGTGCATATTAGTCTGATATTGGGGTCATCAGATTCACATGCTTGGAGTTGCTGAGGAAACCTTCAGTGGATCTAGACTGTTGGAATATAACCCTCTACACATGCACATGTGAATCTACTCAAAGTAATACAAAGGGTGACAGATGACAGAGCTCAGAAGGCACAAATCAAAATCGGTTTACCAAGACTGATAAATAAAAGTACAAACCCCCTCTGGCCATAACTAAATTTCATTTATTAGAAATGTGAAGTGCTATCAATTGTCGTCAACCAAAAATTACTATAGACAGCCAAAATATAGGAAACTCAACTTCTGTGTTATATAAAATCTATGATGATAGGTTAAATTAAGACCTGAGATTTTGAAAGTATACTGTATGTTACCCCAGCTTTAAAGGGCTACAAATGAATAATAATGGAATGTGTTACAGTTTTTCCTATATGGCAGGGGATCCTGGGACTAAATATAAAGCCCCATTTGCCCTTAAGAGTGAGGATGCACCATTAATGTTGACTGGGATAATGTTGACTTGGGCTGAGAGACTCAGAAATTAACTTTTAAACTATTCACTAATTCAAAACCTCACTATTACATTGTAAGTAACATCAACTGATGGCTATTGGAAGAGTCCTGTGAGTCTGAAACTTAATAATGAACATTCCATTTTGAATCGGTATTTCCAAATTCTAATAATGGAAGGGCAAAAACAAGGCCTTTGATCATTTTTCCTTTTGTCATGGCTAAAATTGACTAACGCCATTAACAGAGTTTGGGACATAGCCATTTTGTAATTATCTCTTAACTGAATACACATATAAGAATAATGAAGCAATTCTACCAATTTAATCTAAGTTATTTTTCCTAATTTACCTTCCTTTTTTTTTTTTTTTTTTTTT